TAGTCTTCACTACGCCACATAAGCCCTAGCAGTCACTTGGGTTGACTCTGGCCATCCAACCCAACTCAAATGACCGTTGGTCCTGCTCTGGAGTCTCTCTATAAATACTCTCTTCTACAAGAGGGTCAGATATTCACTTCTTACCCCCTTTCTGTACTTGTGATCACTCTGTTCACTTCTTACTTTTATTTTGCCATGGGAGTGTTTGCAGGTACAACCCCATCTTCTTTTCAACATCGGTGAACAAGCTATAGGTTAACGACGTGCGGCAAGTCTTTTGGTCCCCCTTCTGATCGGGTCAGATCAGCTATACATCTCACTTTATTATTTAGATATTTTATAAAAATTGTTTATTTCCACTTCATACATCCTAAATAGAATAGATACAAAATAAAAGATCTGATAAAATGAAATAGAATAAATTTCACCATCTATCTTTACCTTCACTTATTATTTACAAATTCAAACAAATATCATATCATTTATCACTCTATTTCATCACATAACAATAATCTAAACGTAAATGATTATGCTAAACCTTATTGTATTGAACCAAATCTTCACCAAACTCATAACCTAACTTGGAGGAAGAAGACAAAAGAAAAATCTGAAAATGTAATCAATTAAGGATCTGAGTCATCATCTTATCCATTGAGTTTACAATTTATCATTAAAAAAAATGAAACATTGTCTTTTTTTTTTCTCCAACATGCTCTCATTATATGTAGTTTCTTATTGTGGGTGTGGCATGGCATTGTCAACTTTGAGTATTTACTAGGAAGGATCTGTAGAAAAAAAATACATTGCATACTTCATTTTTATTATTACGTTGAATAAATTTATATAATTCAATGAAAAAATACATAAAATTGATATAATAAATTTGCATGTCAACTATGTGATAGGATAGAAAAGTACTCTACAATCATTAGTTTTATGTTAACTTGATAGTTGTTGATATAAACATTTAGATGTGAAATGTCCATATAACCCAAATATGTGTATATATATATATACTCTTAGTAAAAGGTTATTGTTGGAACATAGAAGATTTTTTTCCTTAAAAATAGTATTAAAAAATCTGCAACAAAGATTTGTTGTTGGATAGTTCGTTAAAAAAACAATTAAAAATGATGGATTATGACATAGACAAATCTTAAAAAAATGAAACATGTTTGAACTAGGTGAAAACGCTGAACCAGTTGACTTGACCTTGCTAGGTTCCTTCTACCTACACTCTTTGCAATTCTTATTCTAGCAAATAGCAATGCATCTTGAGGTATATGAAAAAGTCTCACTCTCTTTCATACTCTAATAACCTAGAAACTTCCCTCTCCAATTATGGATTAAATAGTTGTTACCTTTCATACTCTAATTTAAGTTTTTGTTTTGGAATTTCAGCTAGAAACTTGGACAGCTTTGGTTGCAATTTTGTGTTTACTTGTCTTTATTCTGCAAGAGATTCTTATGGGAGGGAGTGCTTCAAAAGGGTCTTCTTCACCTAGAAGGAGACATGTTCCTTCATATGAATCTTCAGGTTCTTCTTCATCTTCATGGAATAATAACTATGATGGATATCCACCACAGTCACCATATCCTCAGCAGAGTCCTTATCATACACCTCACCATCAGTTTTCATCTGCATCAGCTCCATTTTATGATAATTCACAGCAGAAAAAGAAGTTGGATAAGAGGTATTCGAGGATTGCTGATGATTATCATTCACTGGATGAGGTAATTGTTAGATTATATCATTGCATGTAATAGTGTTTTTTTCTTTGATGTATAAGGATTTGTTTGATCTTTTTCTTTGATTTTGTGTGTTATAATCATTAGTCTATTTTTTTGTGGGGTTAATATGGACCAATGATACTGGTTTTATCATTGACTAGAACAAGAATTAGACTCTTTAGGGTGATATTTATATCATATTCGACTGGTCGTTATGTCAGTCAGAGGATTTATTTCTAGACTGATTATTCTACTGTGCACTAGTAATCGTACAATTGAACTAGGTTGTTTTATCTTGGAGGCGTCATGGTTGATAGTCTGTCTTGCACAATATTGGGCAGTGCCGCGAAATGTCTTAAAGAGAGCGACATAGTCCGCGACTCAACCCGTGATTTTTTCAGTGGCAATTTTTCAAAACCGTAAAACAACAAGATAAACATGCATATGTTTTGTATAAGTTGTTTCTTTAAGCTATCACAAGGAGAAATGATTTATTGAGCATTTCAACCAAAATTAGAGGGTGTTTTGGTTGTATGCTGATAATTTTGATTGAGCATTTTAACCAAAACTAACTGTTTTTCATTTCCAGAGAGAAAATACACATTATTTTTGTCGAAAAAAATTAAGTGAATTGAACACAGGTTACTGCTGCTCTTGCAAATGCTGGGCTGGAATCTTCTAATCTCATTGTTGGCATTGATTTCACAAAGAGCAATGAGTGGACAGGTGTTATTTCTTACTCGCGTTTTCATGCTTGAACCTTTTTCGTGTCTGAATTTTAAGGCCTAATATGTACTTCACTTTCTCAGGGAAGAGTTCATTCAATCGAAAAAGTTTACATCACATTGGAACTGGTCAAAACCCTTATGAACAAGCAATATCTATTATTGGGAAAACTCTATCTACTTTTGATGAAGATAACTTGATTCCATGCTTTGGATTCGGAGACGGTAACTACCAATGTGAAACTAACTGCCTTTTTTGATGTAGTTTCTTTTTCCAGCTTGCAGAAATGACTTTTTCTTTTCGGTCCATTATTTGTCAGCATCTACACATGATCAAGATGTATTTAGCTTCTATTCAGAAGAGAGGCCGTGTAACGGGTTTGAAGAAGTTTTGGCACGATACAGAGAAATTGTTCCTCACCTCAAACTTGCGGGACCGACTTCTTTCGCCCCCATTATTGAGATGGCCATAACTATTGTTGAACAAAGTGCTGGCCAATATCATGTCCTGCTTATAATTGCAGACGGACAGGTACTTCTTAACTTTATATCTCACCCTGTTCACAGTTACACTTTTCAGTACTTTGTTTCTTTTTCAATCATCTTAACTTTCATATACAACAACTGAAGAAACAGCAATTTTGTATTTGCAATACTTTGATGAATGATATTAGTCTGTTATGGATATTCATTGTTTCTGCTTCAAAAACTGATGCTGTCAGCATATGTTGCCACAGGTGACCAGAAGCATCGATACAGAATATGGCCACCTAAGTCAACAGGAACAGAAAACGATAAATGCAATCGTAAAAGCCAGGTAAATTTTTTGCGTTCTTTCGCGTGGAGAACATTCTGCATACTTACACTCTATTTAAATTGCAGTGAGTATCCACTGTCAATAGTTTTGGTGGGAGTTGGAGATGGACCGTGGGAGATGATGGAGGAATTTGACGATAACATTCCTTCTCGAGCATTTGACAATTTTCAGGTTTGGTGTAACTCGCTTAACCTCTTTTACTTGCCATATATGAATGATAAATCTTTTTGTTATGCTAAAATGTTTTAATATTTGTTTGTGGTAGTTTGTGAATTTTACTAAGATAATGTCGAAAAATGTAAATCCATCCCGAAGAGAGGCAGAGTTTTCTCTTGCAGCTTTGATGGAGATACCTTCTCAATATAAGGCAACCATAGATCTTGGTTTATTGGGGTAATAAAATACTAAAATACAGTACTTATAATTTGTTAGATTCAGTTTATCTGGTGTAGTAACTTATAATTGAATTTGAAAATCTCGTGTCTTCATTGATATGACTAGTTCGCGGAGGGGACATTCACCGGATAGGGTTCCTCTACCTGCTCCTCTTTATAATAGGACTTCCTCCAACATCAGTGGAAAATCTTTTCGGTCAAACAGTTTTCAGCCGAATGTGCATAGAGGTACTGGCTATGAATATGATAGCGGTGTTCACAATCACACAGAACCATCTACAAGCTCTTTACATGATAATAAGGTATTGGGAACTTGTTTTCCAAAATGCGAGAAGCGTCTTTCATTTCTGTCTCACTTTCAATGTACTAGTGGTTTTACCTATGATGTGATTGACTGCAGGTTTGCCCGATTTGTCTTACCGATGCGAAGGATATGGCCTTTGGATGTGGGCATCAGGTAACCAACTCAATGCATGCTGCTATATTAAGTTATCTATATTAAGTGGTGAATATATATTAAGTTCCTTCTATTTCCTCACATGGCAGACTTGTTGTGGATGTGGAGAAGACCTCGAATTCTGTCCAATTTGCCGGAGCACAATCAATGTTAAAATAAAACTTTACTAGATATGTATATGCTGCTTTCAATGAAATTTTCACTCATTTGCAGAACAAGGTTAGCCATCAAAGTTTGATGAGGTTAGAACATCAGAGTAACGAAGAGCTTTTGTCTATAAAAGAATAAAATAACGAGCTTTCCCTGTTGTACATATGTGCCATGTCCTCTTGTGTGCATTGAAGGCATCATGTTTTTCAATTTTCAGTTAACTGTCTGTGTAAATATTGCCTTGATTGTTTCAATGAACACTTTTTATTTTGTTTGCAGAACTTGCTCACATTTGTTTAACAAATACTACTCGTACCTAATTTCTTTTCTTTTTAGTATGCATTCCACACTTCTGGTATATTTTAAATATGTCTTTGATCAGGTTTGTTGAAAATATTTTACCGAACAAAAACAAACTCAGCTCTCAAACTTTATTCTGCCTAAATAAAATGCAACAGCCTTCTATGAACAGTAAAGAGGGAAATAAAATTTTTATAATTAATGATACCCTCATTTCCATTACATTAGTTTATACTTTATACTTCCTCAATACTCATAAATATGTGGGAAAATAACAGAATTTGACAAAATTACAAACCCAATGATTGGGTACAGCAACTGAAATAAGGAGCTCCTATAAAGAATCCTATGAGAAAATCTACCATCCTGGTGGTCTCTTGAGTCTGCTTCCTTCAGCAAAATCAGCAACTCTGTGTTTACTAGGCCTATGGTTCTTTCTCACTTGATAACGTATTTGACTGCAGGTTCTTTCCTTCTGGCACTTGAAGGAACATTTTATCTTCTATATAAGCCTGTATATTTGCAACAATCTTCGTCGATTCAGGTACATTACGTGATTTCAGATCAACTAAAAAGTTGTTTGAGACGACGTTCAACATCTTTAAGAACTGAGATTTATATCTTCTAAATAGAGCATATCCAGCCACCTGCGGACAAAGTAGAATTAGTTAGTCTTAGAAGATCCATATATCCAAAAACCGAATATTTTGCATTACTTACTTGCAAGAATGCATTGAGTGAAACAGCTGTATATTGATTGGCTGGCAGAGAGTTCAAGAACCTTGCAAGCCACGCCCAGCCTTCTTGCAAGCCGTGCAAATTTTGAATGTTTGGAATTTCAGTCTGTCGAAACAAGCATGGCCAGCCAGTCAATCAAGGAGACGGAAAAAAAACGTAATTAACAAAATTGAAAATATTGTCCATGTGAATTTGTCAAAATCTTAAGATTATCTAGACAGACCTGAACCAGTGCACCATACACCTTCATATATAATTCTAACCGCTTTAAATAATCTTCTGTACTCTCCAGTTTTTCATCTTCTTCTCGATAACCAATACTTCTAAAGTATGCCTCTTGTGATTGAAAGATGGTCTGAGGCAGTAGAATAAATAATCCAAATTCAACAGCATCAGTACACCCCACTTCTGTGGAATCATATTTGCAGAACAAGTACGTAGGCATAGTATCAAAATAGATAGTTACAACTAATTTTTACATTGTACCAGTTGAAGCACAGCCATGTTGCTTATTTGAGCTAGATAAAATGGGCTCAAACCTTTTGTTTAGAAAAAATGGGACATACAAACAAAATTGTTGTGGCAAAATAACATTTCCCTTCTTCAAATTTACTGGCTCCTCAACAAAAAAAAAAGGTTCCTTAATAGGAGGCGGCTAAGAAGCTACGCAAGAAAATATATTGCTCAATAATATTTTCAAATTCTATCAAGTTACCTTTTTGTAAACCATGTGCTTTGGGACTGTGTAAAGGCAGGCCTTATGAAGCTCAGCAAGAAAAATATCCATTACATATGGGACCTGTCTTGCAAATGATAAACAATTGAACCCAAAAGCAAATAAATAATCATCGGAAAAAATCAATCAAACAAGCATTCATATTCATTCTATGCATCCTTGAAGGCTTAATTATATACCATCCTCCTAAGTCCTAAATAAGCCGAGAAAATAGAGATTAAACATGGTGTGTACCTGAGATGTAATGAGAACAATGACATAGGCAATTGCAAAGGGAGCACTAGCAGGGCTTGAACAGGATGAAACAACCTGTAAAGCATGTATGTTGTCGGTAATCACAACTAGATTTATTAACATAACATAATTCTACTACATCTTGATAGTTTCCATTCATCATTTGGAACATTTCAAACTGTTGAGATATTTAAAATTATAATATGATATCATGTGAATATTCTCTTGTAAATAGGATAGATTTAGATCTGAGTTAATTATGGTCTTGTCCCAAAATCAAGGGGCTTGGTTACCTACTAATTAGTATAAATAAACACATTGAGGATTAACCTCTGAAGCAATTCAAATCAATCTTTGCTCCAATTTAAGCTCACATTCTGTGGGCCTGATTAATAAATATGTTGTAGAATGAAGGAATCATGTTGCCTTGAAAAGAGAAGATAAAGGGAGCAGGACGAAACAATGCAGTATTACATTTGGCGTTGATATCGAGTGTCAAACTTTTTATCCAACTCATGTCTTGTTTCTTTGTATTTCAGCCACATCTTATTTGATCGGAAATATATCATTTCGTTGAAGCCACGTGTTATTTTCATTTGATATCAAGTTTTTCTGATGTCAAATTTCTCACTTAAAAAATATTCATTTAATGGTAAAACATTTCATAATCATTTTCAAATTCAATTAATACTGACAATTATATATTAAGGATTTAAAACAAAAAGTCTTAAATTATAGACTAATCATAATTTATAGCTTTGATATTTTAATTGTTGGTCACAAAAGGCACCTAGCCTGTCACAAACCATCCCAAAGAATTGAAGGCGCCCGAATAGATAAACTTATATTTGTTAAAATTTATTTGCTACCTTTCATATACAGTTAACTGATCCAAAAATAACATCTACGATAAATAACTAAGCCAAGTTTTAAGATTAGTTTAATTTTCCATGTTTCTTTACAAATAAAGCCGAGATATATTATATGTCAAAGGAATCACAAAAAATATTAACTTACCTTTTTAACAAATATCTCAACACTAAATGTTTGAGGGCATTGACGATCATTGAAAATTTTAATGATTTCACTTGCTTTTGATCTGCAGAATGACCAAAAGAGTATATAGGCATGTAATACTTTTGTTAGTATTTTGTTTAAGGATTGAAATTGCCTAGGAGATACAATTTTTCCCTTAAAAAATTAAAATGTAAAAGAATAATATATTGACAACAGCATTATGCATTTGTGAAATTTAAATATTTACTTCACCTAACATTGTCTCTTATGCCCCTTATTTGCCTTATATTCCGGGAAATATGACTCTCGTATCTGGTATAATCCTGAACGGATGTCGACAAAAACAAGTCCCAGTGTTAAAATCAGAGAATTTGACAGAAGAAGTTACTCTTTAAAGTGAGGTGAAGGACAGGCAAATTTCTTGTGAAATAAATATGCATTATCAAGAACATAATTTAAATTTAAAAATAAGATAACAAATATGACAAGCAAAACCAACAAATAATTGGTATTTCTTATTGCATGCAAGATCATAAATTAAGAACCTTAAGACATACATAGGCGGCCAATACCTGGTTAGAACTTGATCTTACAGCTTGGTTTCTGTCACACAGCTCTTTCAGTTTCTGTAGCCTACCATGCTCTATGTTTAAAGCACTTCCTGCAGCTCGATATACATAACCTAAAGATTGTATAGGCCTGTTAAATCTCAGATCATAAACGACGACGAAAATGATGTAAAGATCTAGACATGCACGCGGAGAAGGATTTGATGGTGGGAGGAGAATAGAAATTATTGTTAAATTCATATTTAGTTTCTTTAAATTTTTAGCCCCTGTAATTTTGATTAAAAAAAGTGAACCTCATGATTTACATCAAATCTTTGCGGAAGAATTAGATTGTGTATACATCTCTACATAGAGATAATGTTAAAGGTGGGCAACTCATGAACTTGAACAACTCATTATGAGATAGTGTATAATTTTAGCTTTAGTCGTTAATCCTTTTACTCAAATTCGTAATATATAAAACATAGTTTTAAAAGTATAGACTCAATACAATTTTATCACTTTATGCATATGTAACATATGTGGAGAGCAAGACTAACTTTATTATAATGTTTGTAACAAAAGGAACGTTCAATTTACATGATCTGTCAACTTTTGAGCTAGAATATTAGTCTTCAGTATCATTGATGCAGTTCAAGTTGCTATGAAAATTTCAAGACTTATAAATATATCTTTTTAAAATATGCAAAAAGATAATGAGATAAACCATTAAAATAGCCCGAAAGAATCAACAAATATATATTTCTATCTTCTTGAAATTTATACATCCTATAACAATACTCCAATTAAACCAAAGTTGACAGATCATTTATTAGTACTTATTTTTTCCCTCTATATTAATACTCCAATTAAACCAAAGTTGACAGATCATTTATTAGTACTTATTTTTACAATGAAGTAACACCAATTTAAACCAAAGCCTTGAAATTTTACAAAGCAGTTTAATGATTCAATTCCTTTTTAAAATAAAACAGACAAATCAAGAATAAAAAATGTTAAAATAGAAACAAAAAAAGAAGTGTATGAAATGGAAATTTTGTGCTTACCTAAGTGGTGACTGAAAATAATATAGGAGAAAAATAAGGCAAAGCATTATGGTAGTAGAAGAATAAGACAAAGCAATATGGTAGTAGAAGAATAAGGCAAAGCATTATGGCATGTTGGATGTGGAGAAATGAGTCGAGAAAAAACTAACATTGGAAAGATATATTCTAAATGTGATGAAAAAGTGGGGAAAAACCCTTACCGGATTCCTTGGCCTCAGTATTTAATAGGCTTGATGTGGTATTTAGGGTCACTCCAGAAGTAACTATTTTGGAATTTTCTACTGAATCCTTTTCTGCCCTTCTTTCAGCTTCTGCTGCTGCTCTTTTTTCAGCTTCCATTGCAGCCTTTGTTTTGGCTTCCATTGCTGCTTTTCTCTCAGCTTCCAATGCAGCTTGCTTTACTTCCTCGGCTCTAAGTTTGGCCTGCACCCACAAAACTTAATATCATGAATGAATGGCCATTTGGGCTTAAACCTCTATCAAGAAGATTGGTAGCAAAAGTGTATGCTTGATCTAACATTAACAAGACCCATATAGTCGTGGTTATGTGAATATTAACGAACTGCTAACAAGTTTTAGGCCAGTAGCTGGTAAAGAGAATAGACCAAATCAATGCAATGACAAATGTATGTGTAACAGTTTAGGACTCCCCAAGCATTACGTTTAAAAAATAATAATAACACTTCCCTTTGCAGTTGTGAACAGATGATAACTAGAAATGAAAATTGAAGACATGTATAACTTTTTTTCCAAATAACAGTCAAACTAAAATATATGGGTATGGCACCTCTGCTTCAGCTTTAGCTTTTTCCTGCTGCTGCTTTTCCTCTTGCAAAGCAACCTTTCTCTTGGCCTCTTCATACGCTGCATCATTTCTTATTTTCCTTTCTTCTATTTGTGATCTGAGTTCACGGTCCCGCTGAACAGCTGTTAAGTGATTATCAAGTGCTTCTGCACTACAAAAAATTGGGAGATGTCAATCATCAGTGTCTTTGTTTTCAACATTTCAACTAGTTCAAACAAAGCAATTATCTAACAAAAGAATGAAAGAACAAGAGAAATAATGTTGAGTGGTATAAGAGCAAGTCTAGTAGAAAAAATGCTACATGTGTCAAATATTAAGTTATCAAAATGAGAAATAGAATCAACATCAAATCACACACAATCAAGCCCAATATTCATACAAATGAATTTATAAAATAAAATTAGACTTCCCAACTTTAAATTAATGAATTGTCTTCCAGGCTTACTCCTATAAATAAAGTATAAATAAATCAGTCACGTATCCTATAACCAATATTTATTGAAGAGAATTGTGAAACTATGATGCCCCCAGCCCACTCAAACAAATGGTAAAAAAATGTTTGATGGATCTACAAGTAGTGGTGCAACAGCAAAAGCACCGTCATGCAAAATAACCCATTATTTGACCTCTTATAAAGCACATTAAGAAGGTAGACAATTCTAGAGGAGCCTACAATTCATAGTTTACTTTTAAATCTGACAAAATAAATATGTTTTAGAATGAAGGAATCATGTTGGCTTGAAAAGAAAAGATAAAAGGTGCAGGACGAAACAATGCAGTCTTACATTTGGCGTTGATATTGAGTGTCAAACTTTTTATCCAACTCCTGCCTTGTTTCTTTGTATTTCTCAACTCGAAGAAGGGAAGAAATAGAGTTCTGACTTTCATTCATTAGAGCTGTCTCCAAAGCTGAGATCTTATTCCTGACTTCATCCTGTGAATCCAGAAGATCGGAAACAAGTATGCTATAAGCATAAAACAAATCATGATGTAATTTACTACAAGTTATATGTAAAACAAAAATGACTAGCTATTCAATAAGTAATTGACAAGTCAAATTGGTAACAAGTGCATTGGTATCATTAGGACCACTCACAGTAACCCGCAGTTGATGTTCGTGCGTCAACTCAATCAAGGCACCTTCTACCTCCCCACCTTTATTCATCAGATAAGGTTGCACTTCAAAAGCAGGATCAACATCGGAATCATCACTGTCACTGAAACACAAAGGAAGTAACAAAAACATTGCTATCAAATCAAAAAATTCAACCGGAAACATGAAGTTAACATTGTTAAATTAAAAGAGACACGTAGGTCCAAAATCGACTGTATCATGATTTGAAATATGAGATTAAAGCCATGGTTTAAAAACAGGCACCTTAGATAAAGGTCATCACAAGTGAAGTGTTTTCCAGTGCTAGCTACTACCAATGCTTTGTCATCCTCATCCTCACTTTCCGTCTCAAACTCAGGGGCACGGAGTACAAACCTTTTATTTTTCTCAATTTCTTTCCCATGCGATAAGTTAAGCCTGAAAATCAACAGAGTTTAATTTGACAGCAATGACATGCTCATACTCATAAACTTGATAGCCACTAAATACAACTGCCATATCGTTTCCACAAAATTGCATTTCAACATTAACTAGTACAAAAATTATTCAACTGAACAAGCCAATGGGGTAACATTAAGATGTGAAAAACCATGTAAAATAAGATAATGCAAACAAACATGGAAAATAATCCTAACGCAACACAGAGCTTTTCACAAACAGTTGGTGTTCAAAAACACAAAGCAAACCTTGATGTTGTTTTATGAATATGCAAAGGTTGAGTGGTAGAATTAGCGCCGAGTTTGTTCTCCAGAGCATTGAGCTCGTAGACAAGAGCATCGAAGCTCCAATCAGGTTCAGGATCAGGAGCAATGTCATCCAATCTTTGTGAAGGAAGACGAAGATCCAATTTTATAGCTCCCCTACAAATACCATAATATGAAAATTAAACAAAACGATTGAATTGAAACGTAGTGAGAATGGTATATATTAAAAATTACATTGTTTGATTCTTGAAACGAGTGGGTTTGGAATGAAAGAAAAAGAAGTATAGTGAGTAAATAAAGTTTGGTCAAAAATCGCGAAAAGGTTGTTCTGAGAATCGGGATAAAGAAAGTGGAAGTGTAAGAAAACCGTGGTAGTTGCAACCCTTTTTTCTTTGAAAAAACGACAGTTGGGATGGAAGGGGAAATTGAACAGCAAGGAGAGAAACAGGATTTGAACTCAACAGAAAACAACAACACTAGTTTGATTGTTTCTTTAAATTGCTTTAATTGACCTTTTGGCAAACGAATTTTTTAATCTAATATCTAACTATTAAAATGTTTCCTCGCTAAATTTCATTTTTATCTTTTTCATTAAATTTTTAATTTAACTTAAATATATGAGTATTAAGGACTAATTGCACTATTGTTGAAATATTAAAGTTTTGGTATTTAATGTTGCTGATGTGCAATTTTGTTATTTCTTTTTATTTTATTTTTTACACGTTAAAATACATTTTAGAATTTAAAAAGACAAATTGTGAAGACTTGCAGAGCAACTCAATGGTCATATTGAGAAGTGAAAAACCACTTTACATTTTTCATGTGAGTCATTCATTATCTCTTGGCTCAATGCATTTAAAGGGAACTCAAGAGGCAAGATTCACTCTCTCCTAAAATCATCAATTGATTTTTTTCCACCATTCACCAGAAATCGTAACTGCAACCTGAAACTCATGTGCTGCAAACCACCGCGCGCCAATCACCCTTTGTCGTCGTCGTCGTCGCATACCTCTGTCGTTTTTACTCCGGTAGTTTTTTTATTCCTCTTTGTTTTTGAGTTGTTGCACGCTTTTGTTGTTGTGAATCGTTTTATTGTTAGATCGTTGTTGTATAAGAACAAACATTGTAGTCGTTTTTGTTTTGAGCTCTGCTAAACGTTAATGGAGGATTCTGTAATTTTGTTTGTGTTTGTTTTTCATTGGAGGAAGATAGCAACGTTGGTTCTTCGACGATTGGAGATTGAGTTGAAGACTAATGTTTCCGAACAAGAAGCAAATGTCTTCCGCCAAAACATTAATAAGATTGGAAAAGTTGATTTTGACATAGATGGAACTGAATTGACTCCAGAATAGCTAGAGGCTTTAACTGAGATTGGCAGCATCATCCATAGTTTCATTGTTGAGGTACAATTTGATTTTTTTTTTCATTCGTTCATTCTGAAGAAAATGCACACAAAAGTTATGATAAAGTGTTTTCTTTTTGTGTGTTTCATTTGAATTCTAATTTATAACTATTGTATGAGCTCATATGAATAAGCCAAGGAGTCGTGTAATTTTAAACTATTTGGTGTTTCAGTCAAATAATTTGTGTGTAAGTGCTCAGGTTTGCTTCTATTTAATTTTCTTTGCTTACATGACTAAGCACTGTTCAGTTCTTGAAATCCGGATTGGAATATGGAGAGACACATGAGTTCTAATGGTTTATTATTACTATCATTGCCTAAACCCTTAAAATCACATGTAGATACCCATTCTCTCTTCTCCTCCACCGCCGTGCTTCTTTATCCAAACATGAATCGTCTCACCGCAAGTTCGTTGTTTCCTTCAAATTCGTTCCATTTCTCTATCTATTCTACTTTCGATTTCATTAACTAACAATGTTTGATTCTCTTTGCACCCATGGATGAAGTTGTTCAAGAACCTGTTGCTGCCATTTCAGATCCATCACATATCAATGTCAAACTCTTCAATCGCTGGAACTTTGATGATGTCCAAGTTTATTTCAGTTCCATCACAATTTTTTTTGTTTTAATTTGTAATATATACTCTGCTAAAGTTTAAAAATTTATGATTTTTTTGTTGGGTGTAATTTTGTTGTTTTTGTTGTGCTAGCTCACTGATGTTTCGTTGAGTATCTATATTGGAGTTGCGGCAACCCAAAATCTCCGCACTGCTGAGAGATACTTTGTGAAGAGGTTTAGGAAATTTCAGTGTCTTGTTATTGTGAGGCTGACAAACTCACGCATGATGCTTGGGAGGAACAATGGGAAGAATCTTAAGGTTGTTGGTGTCATCAAGCATGCTATGGAGACTATCCTTTTTCTCACTGACTAGAATCTAATTCGGGTCATTGTTGATGTTGTTGTCAACAGGTATGCTTCAGTTGATCCGAAATAGATTTTTGTGTTGTGGTTATGTGTTTTGATTCAAGTAAGAGTTGACAATTAATTTCTTCAATGTGCACTGCAAATCATACAATCATTCATGAAAGTTTTAACAAGAATCCCTTTTGTTTAGGCATTATCGCGGTAAACCAATCTCATCTTAGATTATGATGTAGTTGAAAATTTATGTTGAAAAATATATTACTTTTAAACATCATCTGCTGATTTTGTATCTTCAATTCAAATGCCGAATTGATCGGCGCATCGAATGAACGAGTGAGTTTAATTGTTTTCTAATTTCAGTTAAAGGGTAGTGCCGAAGAATTCACCACAAACAATAGTCTAAGTATTGAAATTGAAGCTGAGAAGATGGGGAGAGCCAGAGCTCCGTGTTTGATGGTGTGTCAATGAAAAACTTCATTCTTATGTAGAGTATGCGGTTCAAAAGTGTCATAATACTGGTATTTTTATTCTTCTAACTTTTGTGTTGATGAAATTGTATTGGGGCTTCTGTCTATCTTTTTTGGTTAATAAAATTGTGTTATGATGTTTACTTTCAAAACTATAGTAACTAACTATGATTTCTTCGTCTGCTCTTCATTTTTCGTTGTTGTTCCTCCTTTTTCGTTTGGTAACTGATCCACATATGCATCTTTAATTTTTTCTTTGTCCAACTTTTCTTTATACACTAACTACAAAATCTAATGGTGGTAAGTGAATTTTAGTGACGCCACCTCATCTGCTTGAGAATTGTTGTCGGTATTCGTCGGCGGTGTCAAAATTAGTGATAAACTCCTTCAAGTATTTATTTTTTAATAGAATTATGATGTGATTTGCGGCAAAATACATCTCATTTTCAAAAGTTATCTTTTTTCAGTGAGTATCTAAGTGAGAGTTGATAATCATAGGTTGGACATTGACGTGTTATAACAGTAGACTCGGGCTACATTTTACTGAGTCCTCATAAATTGAAAATTTGATTATGCGGAAATCCTTTTGGGGTATAAACATGGGATGTTTGTTATCAGCAAACCCAAGTCCTCATTTTTTCATGAAGCAAACCATCTTTCTGTAATATAATATGGGGCATCAAAAATGAAATGGGAAATTTCATGTGTTGCGGTTTTGTTACCTTTGGATTATATGGTTCTTATATTGTAGTATGCCTTTTTAGTGTAATTATAGATTTACGATTTTTCAAAAGTTACCTTTGTTTAATGAGAATACAAGTAGGTATATATTGATATTTAAAGTAATAATGACATGGTTAAAGTTAGATATTCATAGTTAAGATTGTTGGCCTTTAAAGTGCAACCAGGATGATTAAATGTTTATTTATGGAAACTGTTTGAAGCTTGAACATTTTGATACTGATATCTTTTTTTCCCTCTCTTTTGGCTTCTAAATACTGGAGATGTTTTATTTTTCTTTGTGATTATGGAATTAGTTGTGCTTACTTAACTGCTTTAGTTTAAACACTTCAGACCTCAATGAATAACAAACAAGATAAAACCATAGTATTGACATTCATAGTGGTGGTTGACTAAATCTCTGTATACAGATACTAAGATGTGTTAGTGATATTGTTATGATTTATTTTTTCATTGTTAAACCTCTTTCTCCTTGGTTATGGCAGAGACATAATACTATAGAACATGGAGGATGTATGTCACGGTCAAAGTGTAATGCTGCTCTTTAGGCATGTATTATGATTATATTTTCTTCTTGAAATAACTTCTTATTTATGTTGGTTTTGTAGTAAACATCAGTACCTTCAGTTAATCATCACCCAGTGAGTTGTTGCTTACAGAATATGGGAGAATAGGAAATGGATAGAAAAGAATGAAGAAAAAGAAAAATAAAGAATAGAACATGGATGGGAAATAATGAACAGAAAGATATTATGTTTTTTAGTAATATGAATAAAATTTGCAGGAAGTTATATTTGTAAGGACTAAAGCAAAAAAAAATATAGGAAGTATGAATAATATTATTTATTTTTACATATGCTTATCAAAATAAAACAGTACTACATTTTGATAAGCATATGTAAAAATAAATAATATTATTCATACTTCCTATAGTTTTTTTATAAGCATATGTAAAAAAACTATAGGAAGTATAAAAACAGTATATGTAAAAAACAGTACTACATTTTGATAAGCATATGTAAAAATAGTACTACATTTTGATAAGCATATGTAAAAAACAGTACTACATTTTGATAAGCATATGTAAAAATAAATAATATTATTCATACTTCCTATAGTTTTTTTTGCTTTAGTCCTTAGAGATATAACTTCCTACAAAATTTATTCATATTACTGAAAAAATAATATCTCTTTGTTCGTTATTCTCCATCCATATTCTATTCTTTATTTTTATTTTTATTTTTCTTCATTCTTTTCTATCCATTTCCGATTCTCCCATATTCTGTAAGCAACAACTCACTGGGTGATGATCAATTGAAGGTACTGATGTTTACTACAAAACCAACAGAACTAAGAAGTTATTTCAAGAAGAAAATATAATCATTATACATGCCTAAAGAGCAGCATTACGCTTTGACCGTGACATACATCCTCCATGTTCCATAGTATTATGTCTCTGCCATAACCAAGGAGAAAGAGGTTTAACAATGAAAAAATAAATCATAACAATATCACTAACACATATTAGTATCTGTATACAGAGATTCAGTCAACCACCACTATGAATGTCAATACTATGGTTTTATCTTGTTTGTTATTCATTGAGGTCTAAAGTGTTTAAACTAAAGCAGTTAAGTAAGCACAACTAATTCCATAAACATAAAGAAAAATAAAACATCTCCAGTATTTAGAAGCCAAAAGAGAGGGAAAAAAAGATATCAGTATCAAAATGTTCAAGCTTCAAACAGTTTCCACAAATAAACATTTAATCATCTTGGTTGCACATTGAAGGCCAACAATCTTAACTATAAATATCGAACTTTAACCATGTCATTATTACTTCAAATATCAATATATACTTACTCGTATTCTCATTAAACAAAGGTAACTTTTGAAAAATCGTAAATCTATAATTACACTAAAAAGGCATACTACAATATAAGAACCATATAATCCAAAAGGTAACGAAACCACAACACATGAAATTTCCCATTTCATTTTTGATGCCCCATATTATATTATAGAAAGATGGTTTCCTTCATGACAAAATGAGTACTTGGGTTTGCTGATAACAAACAACCCATGTTTATACCCCAAAAGGATTTTCGCATGATCAGATTTTCAATTTATGAGGACTCAGTAAAATGTAGCCCGACTCTACTATTATAACACGCCAATGTCCAACCTATGATTATCAACTCTCACTTAGATACTCACTGAAAAAGGTAACTTCTAAAAATGAGATGTATTTTTCCGCAAATCGCATCATAATTCTATTAAAAAATAAATACTTGAAGGAGTTTGATCTGACCTGAAAAGAAGGGAGTCAATGACCTGTCACGCGTTGTTGATCTGCTAGCTGTTCACCGGAAGTATGGAAGAGGAGGGGATGTACCTGCAAGATACTCCGATGCCAAAGTAAGTAATGGACCAGAGTGGCAGCAAATACAGAAGAAAGGTTAAGAAGTGAATTGAATACCTGACCCTCTAGGGAAAAAGGGTATTTATAGTGAGACCCCAGCACAGGGCCAAAGGTCACTTGTGTTGGGATGGATTGCCAGGCCCAACCCATGTGACTGTTAGGGCTTACGTGGCGTAGTGAAGACCAGTACGTGGTCTTCGCCCTAGATAAACTGTCCCGTGATCTCCGGAAGGTGGGCTGACCTGCTCTTTCGGAGGTGGGTAGTTGTTTGATGACGTGTCCCCGCGGAGGGGACACGTGGATAACATGTAGAGGACATGTTGATTTGCCCGACGGAGAGACGCGTCCTGCTCGACGAGGGACTTGTCTGGTCGACGGGAGAGTCTGTGCCCGACACTGGGCAATTTGGGCCTGTTTGGGCCTCCCCCAAATAGCGTTGGGTTGGGCCTGCCCGACGGATGGGCAAGCCTGGGCCTAGTCCAGAACAGGAGCCCCCCAAGTCGTAGCTCCAAAGTGAAGGAGCGAGGACTTGACAGTATTGCGTCGGGGAGGAAGAATGCGCGAGAAGGGTCATTTGTGGGACCGCCGTAACGGGGGCAAAGAACGCGAGGAGAAAACTTGTCGGTCTGACTTGTCGAGGATGCATGGTCGAGGGAACCTCGGTCTTGTCGGGCAATTAGGTCGAGGAGGTGGAAGGTTGGCGCGTCCTCGCCTGTCTGTGAGCCCAGGGGAGATGAAGGGGCATGACTATTTCTCAATGCCACGTGTCAAACGTCTAGTGGGCCACGCGGGGCGGCTACCCTAGGATACTCGAGTGCCTAGGGATGCTTCGAGTCTCGTGATGGGGGTATAAGTAGGCAGGCCCCTACCCATTTATCATTTTTTGTTTTCGCTCCCTACCACACATGACTGTTGTATTGCTCGCATCTGTTCGCTAGCACCGTCGCACCCGCCGCTGCGTACTCCGTCGTCACATTACCCTGAGTAAGTTCTCTTTCCCCCACCTCTTCTTTGTTTTAAGCTTTAACGTTGGTGTCAGGGCGTGATGAATGCCCCGAGGAGGGAGAGGGCCCTCTGCCGCATTCGGTGGTGGTTTTTCTAGGTTAGGGATGAGGATCCCGAGGACGTGTGAGGGGGTAACATGAACACCCCGGAGACAGGTATTAGTTCTAGATGAGTGCCCCATGGACGCATGATAGGATTGGTTGAACGCCTCGGGGATGCACGATAGGATTGGTTGAATTCCCCGGGGATGCATGATATAATTAAATGCACGGCCCGGGAGCGATGAGGGGTGTTGGACAAATCCCCCGAGGAGGAACGCCCGGGTGGCCCTCGCGGCCGTCGTGGCTCCCGTCCTCGTCGCCCTTTTACTTG